TCCCCCGGAGGACGCCGGGGCATTCTGAGGCTGTCTGAGATGTACAACTCCTTCCATCATGTTCTGTCTACCCCAGAGCCTCCTAATAGTTGGACATGCCCAAAGAACCTGCAGTGGAAGTCACCCAGGAGACATCCTGATCAGATGCCCCAACCACTTCAACTGGCTTCTTTCGATGTGAAGGAGTGGCAGCTCCAAGCTTCTGTTCGGTGTCTGAACACATCTAAGTCCAGCCACCCTACACAGGAAACTGCTCTCGGAAGCTTTTGTTAACAACCCATTCTTTGTTCACTACCCAAAGCTCATGACCGTAGGTGAGGGATGGAACATGGGTCAACTGGTAAAGGGAGCAACCCAGTGTTTTCCAGCAGAGACGTGGGGGATCTGATTCTTGTGTCCCATGTAACCTAGTAAACAGAAGAAAACTCAGTCACACAATTTGTTTTCTTTATATTGATCTCCACATTATATTTTTGCTTCCTGATATTTGAGTTATTGTCTCATTATGTTCTCCTCTTCTGCAGCGTTGAAACTGGGTCCAGAGGCATTTCGTTTTGACGGCGGCGTCGAGGCCATCGCCACCCGCCAGAACGAGAAATACTTCATCCTCCGTCCCGAGGTCATCGAGACCTACATGTACTTGTGGAGGTTCACCCACGACCCCAAATACAGAGAGTGGGGCTGGGAGGCTGTTCAGGTGACACACGTTCATCAGAATGAAACAGGCTTTCTGTAACGTTTCATTTAACTAGAGCTGGGCAGTTTGATAAAAAGGCTCTCATCTGGGTTTTGACTGAATTTATCTCAGGCAGCTAAAGTACAGATTTGTTTGTGTTTTGCACCTGAACTGAAGGTCAATTCATTTAGCTTGTTTTATATTTAGCAAATAATCAGCCACAAGGTTTCGTGTTATTTTCAGTGTACAAAGAGATTGATTGATGCTGTCGGTCACTGATGCCCTTCTACAATATGTCTTTCTCTCTTTCTGCTGTCACTGTGTCCCCCCTCTTCCCCCCTCCCCCAGGCCTTGGAGCAGCACTGTAAAGTAGAAGGGGGCTACAGTGGAGTCAGAGACGTCTATGTCTCGACTCCCAACCACGACGACGTACAGCAGAGCTTCTACTTGGCTGAGACGCTCAAGTAAGACACAAACCGAACATCTTTATACGCACACCCTTCACTTCTGTCCTGTCATGATTGTGCTGTCACTGCGTTTTATGGAGCCGCTGGGACCCTGCATCCCCCAAACTCAGAGATGTCACCTCACACTCACACAAAGTATGAGTGTGTTATTCATTCTAACCAAACCCCAGAGAGTGGCGACGAATCTGACAGACGTTTGCAGCCCTGAGGCGACTAATTGATTATTCGATAGAAAATGAATCACCAGCTAATGTGTTAATTGATTTATCATTTAAAATGTGGTTGTTGTAGCATTTGTGAGAATTAGCTGCTTTTCTTTGTCTTAATTAAAAGTTGGTTTAAAACATGGTTTATCTGAGAAAAGGCCATTTTTCCAGTTTTGGACATTTTATAGCACTGCAGATTGTTTTCTTATGAAATATATGATCAGTTTAGCTCCTCAGGGGGATACTGACTAAGGTGTTGTGGCTCATTTTCTGGAGCTAAACAGTGAGATTGCATGTGTTCGTATTTACTAAGGAGTCACAGTGGGGTTTTGTGGCAGAGAAACAAAAGAAAAGCGGCACCACAGGAACTTAGTTGTTGGGCATTCCCAATCAGGGAGGAGAGAAATGAAGTTTATGCAAATACTCAGCATCTGATTTACCGCTGCTGCGACAGAGGGAACCGCGGCTGAAATTTACCATCAGGAGAAAGCGGGTGTAAGATTTGCAGCCCTGCTGTCACCGTGGCAGCCGTTAGTCGCCTGAGACCTTGTCAGAGTTAGGAACACATTTGAGGAGTGGAAAGGTGTTTGTAAATCACATCGCTCTCCAGAAGAGAATGTGAGGGACTTTTACAGGCTTCAGGTCAAATCATGCTTCAATCACAAAATAAAAGATGATGTGACGACGTGAGTGAACTTCTGAAACGTGTTGAGTTCGTCAGCCATATAAAGTTCAGTCAGTGTAAACTTGCACTTCCCCCTCAGTCCACATGTGCCAACAGACGTCAGGCGGCGGAGGTGTGTTCAGATGAACACAGTTGCAGCTGTGCTCATTTACACAATCAGTGTTGGTAAATATTCTGCTAAATAAAAAAATTTGCAGTGCCGCAATATTTTGTGCACCTGATGGCAGTTTGCAACACATTTGTCATTAAATATCCCCCTTAAATGAAACAGTCTGAGGAGCTTCTAAGGGAAGAGCAACCGCATTGTTCCAGCAAGTACTGTAAAAACAGGTGGAGACGTTTCTTTGCTCCTGACTTCTGACTCATCTTGGGGAGGTACTGGTGTTAAAATGGCTCATGCTGTCTGGACAGGTCAGATCACAGACTGTGGCCCCAGGAGAGCATGAACAGATTTTATTTCTCTTTGGCATTTGTGAGTAAAACCCACCCACATTTCACTGATTTCTCCTGTGAGACACATACAAATTATAAGAAACAAAATAAGAAATGCGTTCTGTAGAAGTAAAAGACCAGTTATCACCCACATGTTTCAGCAAATCTATATTGGATCTGTTGATATTTGCCTTAAATGCCTGCGCCTGCTTACATCTTAAAACTAGCAGAGAAAGGCAGAAACTGTGAGAAACACCACATGTCCCAACAAACCACAGGCAGCTACTACTGCTCACCACCTCTTAATAGTCTCCTGATATTTTTACTAAACCTCCCTCGTGTGCAGTGCACGTGTGCCGCACTCTGGCCCTGGCTAAAGGCAAAGACTTCACTTTTCCTGTAAGAATTTAAATCAACCAAATGATGACTTTTTAGTTCAAATCATAACTGCCTGTATTATTATTGTTAATTTATTGACTTGACAGTGTAATAAACGTGTGTGTGTGTGTGTGTAGCCACAGCTGTGTTGTCAGCCCGGCAGTGTGATGTCCGGTGCCTAATAGAGCTTTCCTTCTCAGATGGCTCTCCAGCTGTGTTCAGGAACACAGTCTGTTTAAAGCATGAGTAAAAAAAGACTTTACACAGTGTGTGTACAGATACTTTATGGTGTGTGTGTTTGTCATTAGTTTTCTCTGTGTGTGTCCATGTGAAATAGAGAAAATTTCAATTTAAGATGCTGTTTTAGTATTTTTTTTTTGTATTTCCCATGTGTTGGCTGTGTTTGAGCAGCTGAACCAGGCAGAGTAACTGTTCAGTTGTTTGTTGTTTTATTCATGTTGTGTAATAGCGTTTGGCTGCGATCAGGAGCCAGAAGCTCATTTGAAAGCCAGATGAAACGCTGGAAGTGAGTTTATTGAGTTTATAATAAAATGAGGTGACACAGATTTGACCACAGTAGCATCAATAATGTTGTTCAATGATTTTCAGTCAGAAAGGACTTTTTTGTTTTGTTTTTTTAAGGTTGTCGATTAATTTTGATTTGAATTGATTTTGTGTTTTGATAAAGACGGCTATCTCGCTCCGAAGCCATATTTGGTCAGCCGGCCTTCACCGTCATGCTGTTAACCTGTTACACTGGACATTGTATTTAGTCCTTTAACCCACTCACCTCTTTAATCTGTCCTCGTCTGCCTCCTGCATTTCCTCCAGTCGCATCGTCCTCGCTGTTTCCCGTTCTTCCACTGAAGTTTTACGGTCTCTCCTCCACACTCACTTCCATCTCTCCCTCCTGTTCACGTCTTGCCCTCCCCCTCTCTTCTGTTTTTTGTTTTCCCAACACTAGCTGCTGACAGGAAGTCAAGGTTAACCTGAAGTGCCTGATGGTGGTGAAGTTTTTATAGGCTGTAAATTTTAACAAGTGTCTCGTCTACTCCAGAAAAAGAGTAGAGGTGACATCCAACATGCAAGTGGGACGTGAATATTTTTGAAGGCATGATTAAATATTTCCAGGAGACACAGTACAGAAAGAAGAAATGAATACAAGTGTAACTGACCACCAGCCTGGAGAGTAACAAAGTAATTACCTGGTCCGTCAAGCTGCATCTTATCCTTCGTATCACCGACGAACCTCACTGGACACAGAAAATATCAATCCCATTTAGCAGCAGGCCCATAGGTCTAATCCTCCTAATGCAACTCGGGGAACTTGGCAACATGCAGAGCCACTTCCAGGATTCATCTTCCCTCTGCTGCCAAGGACACGGCCATACTTCACACGGCCGTCTGCCTTCAATCACTCGCCACTTTCTAGTGGTTTGTTGGCAGGCAGGGGCTGACGGGGACTTGTCGGTGGGGGTGAGGGCTTCGTGGACAACAAGCTCGTCTGCTGAGTCATTACTTTGTCATTTGACACACAGTGTTTTTATGTTTCAGTTTCTTCAGTTACATCTTCTGAAAATCTTCCAACACACATGAACCCAAATTCTCCACATTTATCTTCTGCGGTTGCTGCTGCTGGCAAAAAGTCTGTGTTCACTGCTACACGTTTACACGTTTCTAAAAAAAAATCAAACACGTTTAAGTGCACATCTTTGTTTTGAATTTAAGTGCCTGTCCAATATTTTGGCCAGTGCTGAGGCTGTGGAAGTGATTGGTTATCCAGCACCGCATCTGACATCAGACCTGGGTGCACGCAGGGAGGTGCGCTCAGATGACGGCCCACCCAAGAGAGCCGTGCACGGCCCTGATGCGTTGGTCCGGCTCAGATAAGTCGGGGCCAGTCCCATTGTCCTTCACTGGTCAGCGTCTCTCTCTCGTGTTTGTTTTGCTGCCTCGGTCGTGCGCCCTTCTCCTTGGTTCACTGTAAGAGCATCTCGTGCACCTTTGTTCTATTTCATATTCACTACTGACTCTGGTTCCTAAGCTCTGATGACATAGAGCCACACCTCACATCAAGTTTTATGAACTGGTCTGATTTGGAGCCGCTTCCCTCTACTTCTCATGCTTCTCTGTTCCACATCTGTTTCCTCGCTGTTTTGGCACGACCGCTCATAAATGTTGCAAAAGCTGAACATGACTCAAACATTTTTATGAAACACACTGAAGAACATGGTGCGAATCCCAAAACCATCTTTAGAAATGAGCTGAAGAATGTTTATGTAATGAAAACACTGTTTACCCACAAGATTTCATTGAAATAGTTTTTTAGTACTGACACACTTTAGTAGATGACCAAAAAGAAAACTAATAAGCTTTTTGCTCATCAGTGAATAATTTGCTCAGTTGTCTACTACAGCAGAAATTCAGTTATAGTAAAATGAACTTATTTGGTGAAGAAGCCAGGCAACTTCATCATTTAATATCTTGTCTCCTTGTCTTTCAAAACTGTCAGATGATGATAAATAAACACACCTAAGCCTGACACATAACTGCAGCGCAGTAGTGGAGCATGACAACAAACTGTTCTCTGGGAAATCATGTTAGAAAGTGTTCATATTTATTTACGTCCATTGATTGGAGAGTATTGACATATTTACACTGTACATGTTTTCTTTCCCAGCACCAGGATGCATTCAGGCACAGCACTGAGCGTAGTTCACCCCCGTTTTCAGAGCCCACAGTCTTTGGTTATGAGCATAAAATGGAAGAAAATCAATGTGAAGGATCAAAAATGGTTTCAGGTTGAGGAGTGAAATGTGAGCTAGCACGCAGTGTGTGCAACAGCTGTCGGGATAGAAATCAGAGCATATCTGACATGTTAGACGTTCATGGAACGGGCGTCTGGAAACCCAAGACCCAGATTCTGCCAAAGTACCAGCAGGAAAGCAGAACATTCTGTCCTTACACATACTGTACAAGTTACAACAGTATTAACATGTGCAGTGCAACTGCTCAAGGTGGCTTTGGGGCTGCTGATGCACCATAAGAATCACATCTGTATGGGATTTAAGTAGTTAAAACAAGCCTTTTCTCCCTCTTTGTCTCCCCCAGGTATCTCTACCTGCTTTTCTCTGACGACGACCACCTACCATTCGACCACTGGGTCTTCAACACTGAGGCTCATCCTCTGCCGGTCATAAAGGACAAAACAGACAGACCCAATGAAGTGGAGTAGTGGACCAAGCCTGTACTGACACCCGACAACAAGTGCGAGAACCTCTGATCCTGTATGCCTGAGCCTCCGGCTGTCTGTCTGAAACTGTTTGGCCATTTGGAATCCCCTGTGGTTGCAGACGCCTCTTGATCAGATTTCACTTTTTATGTTTAATGGGATCAAAATCGAATTCAAGCCAGTTGGAGCTGAAATCTCGCTGTAGAGTCCAGTTTTGTTTTGTTTTGGTTTGGTTTGGTTTGGTTTTTTTTCCAGATGTTCAGTTCTGGTCGAGTCCAGATGCTGACATGAACCAACAGAACTGCTGCTGAGGAATAACTCATCCAAATGTAATAAAACGTCCCTCCACATGAGTTTGAACCCACCATGTGATAACACAGCGATATCCTAAGACTGCGAGTGTAACTTTGGATTATTCTGATTATAAAGTGGTACTTTCTGAAGATATCATTATATTAAGTTGCTGCTTTTTCCACTGCCAGAGTTGATCACATTCTTGGCTCGTTTAGAGGGACAGCTCGACCAGTTACTACTCTATTCATCAGTTATTATGCTGTTGTAGCTACAGCTCTGTCTGTTATCTGTTGCTTTTTGGTGAAGGAGAACGATGTGAACTGGTCGTCGCCCTGATGTGGAGATTCCAGACCCAGAGAAAGTCCAGCTGAGGATTGTGAGACAGAGTGAGCTCAAACGTGTTCTGTTTGCTTTTCCTTCTGGTTATATCTGATATCTGAGTAGGAACTGGTTTTCGTTGGGGCCACCACCACCATCACTCTTTGACACTGTCCTCAGAGAAACGTTTGCCTTTCTAAAAACGTGCTTGTCTCTGCGGGACTGTGGGAAAGACGCGACACGATCTGAGCATCGTCTGTGCTTCTCGTCCGTCACCTGAGCACCTGGCTCCTCCCCGACTTCCTCTGAGTTTGATGTGACACAGGTTGAGCAGCCACACCAGCTCTCTACCTGCCAGTTATTCAACCCCCACCCCCGAAACAATGTTTACACTAAGCTGTCCTCCTGCTTCTTCTTCTGCACATCTCATCTCCAGTTCTGTGTCTTTGTCTGGCTTTTTAGTCTCTGGATCTATTTGGCTTTCACACATTTGCACTCGTACGTCTGGGCTTCGACTGGCACAGGTGGAACACACTGGTGACTGATACCTAATATTCATGATCATTTCTTAATTCTTTGTTATTTTTTTCCTCACAAATCATTTGCTGCTTTCTTAGCTAGCTGGGAAAACAACTCCAAAATTTAAGATTATAACAATTTTTTTAAATTTTATTCTTTTAAGTTTGACTTTTCCGGAGCTTTGAGCCGCATCTTACAGCCTTCCTCAGTGGTCGTTTTGCTGTTATGGACATGAGTCCGACCGTGAGATGTGGTTGAAAGCACTGGAAAAAGCTAAAGTAAATGGACCAGGAGTTAAGTTTGATCTGACTGACTCTTTGAAATGGAAAAGTGTAAATCTTGTTTTCTTCTTTTGGAGTTTTGACTTTGAACAGACTTCTTCTGTTTATATCTTTAAATCTGAACATTTTCATTAACATTTAATCTTTTTAGACCCAGGAGCACTGAAAGTCTCCACTTATGACTGATCATATTAATACATATTTGTAGAATCTGATTCACAGGTCTCATTAGAGTTTCTCAGAGACGCTCGGTGTTGTCTTGATATCAGTGTCAGCAAACCTGTGTGTCGGTCAGACTTATCTGTTGCTATTGTGTCACTTCTTCAGGCTGTAGGATCTTCTCTCCTCTATGAGGAGACACAGTCTCTCCATGTCGCTGTAATATTTCACGCTCGCACACACACACACGCACAGAAGAAGCCATACTGATTCATCACAGCTTTATCGTTCTGTGACTGAGATTCTCTTCCTCCTCCACATCTGGGGGCGTGACTGTACTGGCACAAACTGTGTTGCTGTTTTTGTTGTTGTAAAATTCATGTTCAGTAAGAGTTCAGCGTATCAACATCAACAGGTTGTTTAGTTGGTTTTCAAGGTAAAGATGTGTCCCGATGCCTCACAGAACTGTAGCCTCATTAAATCAAGTTTAGTCTTGGATCTAGTGCCTTCAGTGTTGAAACAGAGTCCAAGGGAGGAACAGCTTACACAAACAGTAGTCTCAGAGCTTTAACTGGGGGTCGTCAGAGCAGGATTATACCAAAACTAGACATAAATTAAAGGATGATTCCTGCTTTTTGATGTGATATTCAGTGTGTGAAAATGTCGTCTTGAGATCTGACCGTTAAATCTGAGGATCTCATAAAACAAGGCTTTAATTTAAAGTAATAAGTCTTTCATGCTTATACTGTACTTTCTCCAAAATCAAGGTTTGGCCAAGGGTTGACTATCATTTAATGGTTGGAGACCAGTGGAGGCCCCAGTCTGCAGTTACAGTTCCTTGACTACACTGCCATCTAGTGGTCAGAGTTTTCTATTACAGTCCTCATGAGACCTGGGCTTAATGACTGCAGCCTGGAGTTTACTGCAGCGGAAAGATACTGATTACAGCTAACGAGGTCCTCTTGCATTTGACTTGGAAAATCTTCAAACTAAAGAGTAAAAGAGGGACAGGCAGAGAGAGGACCAGTGAGCAAAGACTATCCTTCACAGCCAAGGACTGTTCAAACTAGACAGTGTTTGTGCTTGAGTTTCACTTTGTTTTAATTACCCAACAAAACTCCGCTAAATTTCCAGATTTGAGTTAAAAATGAAAAAACCTGGCCAACACATCAGTGAGTAAGGCCTCCCCTGTCAGAGCTGAGACATCCCCCCATCTTCCTCCTCTCACTGTACAGACGACAGCGTCTACGTGTTAATTCTGTTCAGTTTCACTAGAACTGGTTTATATTAGCCACGTGATAATATATTGTAATGGTTGATTTTGCTGATTGTGTTAATTTATTCTATAGTAGTGGACATAAGACCTGGAGGTGTAGGGAGCAGACCCCAGCTGGCGCTGTGGGTGGTATGGCCTAATGTTTACCTGCCAAAACATCTCATACTGATATCGACAAAGGATTTAAAGGTCTTCAGTCTTGCATGGTGTTACAGTATTTATGTCAGCGTGATGTTAAATATGGCAGAAAATGTGGTTTAATGCCAGAAAGAAAGCAGCTGGGAGTCAGTCAGACCTGAACCATAGGACCTGTATGAATGTACCGTCCAATGTGAAGTGAAGATTATTTATTATGCATTTTTGTCTTTGTTTGTTCGCTTCTGAGCTTTTGTTGCATTTTATTTTGTTTTTCTTTTCTCCTGGAAAGCACAAAGACACAACATGACGTGCACAGGCAGAGAGAAGCCTGTGGTTCATAGAACCAGAGGGAGCAACGTGGTCGCTGTCGACCAACCTGAATGATCCTAATCTGCCACATGAGGCGTATCAGTACAGCTCTCACACAAAAATGGACATAGTATCATACAAACCAGATGTTTTAAGTGTTTATCATTCACTGTATGGAGACACGGAAGCTGTTAGAGAAGAGGACAAACGGTTTGAAACTTTACCCTGATTCGTTCTTAACTGATTTGTTCACTAATGTTGGGAGCTGAGAGGTGAAGAGTTCAGACGTCTGTGTCTTCCAGTGAGTCTGTACATACACAGTTCTGCTCCATCACTGTTTTGGTTTATGTGTGACAAGTATGGACAGTCGCTGATAGTCAGCGTTTGCTGACAAGTCGAGATAAAGACATCTTTTCACCCTATTGGTCCAATGTAATGAAGAGATTGAAGAGCACAGTGGCTTAATGTAGCTCAGTGTCCACTACAAAGACACTAAAATGCTCTGATTTATTTATTTTATTTTATTTTTTAAGATTTTGTCCTGCAAAAAGGCAAAGTGGCAAATTCCTGTTGGTGAAAACTGAACTAGGGACAAATGAAAACGACTTGGTCATGCTACAGTGGCGTTTGTCGGGCAGTAATTTTTATTATTGATGAATCTGCTGGTGAGTTTTTGGTTAATCATTTGGACTATAAAATATTAGAAGTAGTTGTATAAATGATCATCCGCTCCCCAGAGTCTGTGGTGACGCCTTCAACTACCAGAAAGCAGAAAATGTAGGTTAAGGTTATTTTAAAGGTCGTGCTGCTGATGCTTCCTGGGTTTGACTGTAGTCGACACTTGTTAATTCTGATGAGCAAAGATGCCTGTAACCGCGGGGCCATATGTTATATAACTGTATGGTGGTATGAAATTAGGAGCATTTTTCCAAAATGTGTTAAAGGATATTTGAATTAACCTCCTGGTTGAGGGCATAGTTTCACATTCCATGTTAAGATTAGTGCAATTCTACAGTTTGGCATTTGGTTTTTAGTGCGTTCTTGAATAATATAATAGTAATTTAACCGTGTCGTCTTGGACTTGTAGGGCTGATCCGCTGAATTTTCCCCCAATAGCAAGTCAGAGCTTTTCAACCCTACCTTTGGTTGTGTTTCTGCAGGAGCGTTGCAGGAGTTTTGAAGGACACGGTGTTTCCTGCTCTCACGTGACACTGAGCAGGGAGGAGATGCAGAATGCATGTGTTTGCGTGAGCCGTCGTTGTTGAGTTTGCTTTGGCTTCACATAGTGTGACATCAGGCTTCTGCTCATTCTTATATACAGACTTTATTTTTTTCTTAAAACGATTGAATTGTCCTTGGTGATTTTCTGAATATTGTGTTGATGATCTGTTGGGTTCCAATGCCTTTCTACCAGTGAATTTTAATGGGAAATGCCAACTAGTTATGACTTCACAGTTTAGGTCATCCTGGTGAAAACGCACCTGTCATCCCTGAAGGACTGACCTGTCCCGGGACACAAATCAGCTTAGTTTCTAAAACGGTTGGCATTGTCCTTTAAAGGTTTAAACATGTGAAACCAACCTCAGAAATGTATCTGTACAAAATATTGCTGATAATCATTCCACTGCACATAGAGTTTACGTTCTATGTAATATTTTCATTTTGTGGGGAAATCTGTTTTATTGTGTTAATATTATTGAAAAAAAAAATGTAAATATTCCATTCTGGCAAAGGAGCTGTTCTACATTTATATAAAAATCTTATGAGCATAGGGAGCAAAACGATATTAATGAGCAGCAGACTTTTTAATAAACTATATTTGTTACACTTCTATTGTGAATAAAATCTTTTAATAAGTGGTGGTTTGCGATTGTGACTCTTTACCTGCTTCCATCTCTACATTCATACAATGAATAATCATTTCTCATGTCATGACGGGTCATATAGTAGGATCATTCCTATCACAGGTATCGTATCGTATCTTATTGCAGGTTATTGATCAGACCATTGTAGTGCAGCTGAAAAGACTTTTAGATTCAAAGTGTTTATTGTCATATGCACAGTATGGAAATGTGTTTCCCTGCACAATGACTTTCTTACTTTGTGTCAAACAACACAAGTGAAATATAAAGTAGATAAACAGTAGCACAAAGTCTAAAGGCACTTTAAACAGCGAGTGAAAAGAAACGGAACGAATTATACTCGCAATCCAAGGTTTCACTGTATAATAACAAGTATATAATATAATGAAAAACACCAGGAAATAATGTATGTGCAGTAGTCAGCAGTAATGAGAACACAGTAAAAGACAATGTATGCTACATTGAGGTATGTAGATCCTTTAGATTTAAGAACTTGACAAAATGACGTTTGTGTTTCGATTATAAGCTGTATACAGTCTCAACTCTTTCTTCTGAGCCCGTTTGTCATGTCAAATAGTCTGAAATTTTAGACTGCAACTAGGGCGCTATACTCCTGGGGTCCGCCAGAGGGCAGTAGAGGCCCATATGAACAGGAGTTTGTTGGTTTTCTCCACCTTCACCACCAAGAGGTTTTTTTTTTTAATAATGCTTATTACGTTTGGTTTTAATACTGTACGAGTTTTCCCCCATTGTTCCTGTTCTCTTTAAACTCTCAAACAGCAGCCACCAAACCTTAAAAGCTTATGTAACATTCTTGTCTTTAACTCGACTTGCATGTACAAAGCTGTCGATTTTGAAGGCTAAACAGAACATGCTCTTACTTAGCTATAAAACACTATATATAGCTGCAGTATACAATTACAGTTTTCTAAAATCTGACATAAATTCAGTTTTAGCAACATTTCAGTAGTTGAAATTCTGAAACTTTATTATTCAATAATAAGATTCTTTAGCACCACATTTGAACTAAATGTATTTTAATTGTTGCATTCAGTTAGCAAAAAAATAAATAAAAATCACAAAGTTACTGCACTCGTCCTGCACGTAACCCCTCGTCATAATACCCAGACAGTGTTGTTGTCATGGATTAATCAAACAAGACCTTCTGTGAGCTTTAGTGGTTCATTCTGTTAGACTAGCAGTTCCCTTATGCTAAGCTAATGCAATGCAGCTGTAGCTTCACATTTATTATACAGACAGAGCGGTATCTCATCTAATGCAAGAATGTTGAACTAGTCCTTTAATATCCTACTACAGTTCTTTCCTCTCCTTCACACATCCCTTCTTCTCTTACTTCCACACTTACCTTCGTTGCCTCCCTCCCTCATTATCCATCCTTTCCACTCCTCCCTCCATGTTTGTTTCACCTTCCTCCCCTCCCTTTGTCTACCAGCAGAACAACACAAGTCTCTGGAAAAAAGAGAGCGACTACTTTGATTCAGCAACAGCAGATTACAGCGCCAGAGAGGACTCGACCCCTGCGTCTGCAGCCCTGAAAATCCAGGTGTGTGTGTGACTACAGAGTAAATCTGCTGAGCCACAACAACCCTGAGGGAGGAACTGTGTTTCTCTCCTGCGCTCATCTGTTACTGAACAAGGTGACAGGCCTCAGGGTTTTCCTTGTAGTTAGGCCTTTTACATCCACAGTTTAATACTGTTACTGAAAAAGTTCTTAAACTTGCAAACAACTTGATCGATTCTTCTCTGTCAGCATATTATTGTGCAGCTTATGAACAATATGTAGCTGTGGCTGAATTTAATCAGTTCAGTATAAAACAAACGAGTAAAGTACTGGGATCTGATTGTATTCTGTGATATATTCTGTTTCAGTTTAGTGTACTGTTCCTTCTTCACAGCTTCATTACTCTGTTTGAATCCAGCCCTGTATTTCTGTGTCTCCTCCATTCATCTTTCAAAGCCTGAGACAGACTTGGATGAAAGAATTTAGAATTTAAACCACCTTTTGCAGCATAATGAAGGAGAAAAAGAAAGAAAGGAAGGTAGGAAGGAAAAAGTCCAGCAGCAGACATGTCAAATTAACATTAGACAGCTGAGCAATGTGATCAAGTGCCTGGGAATCTTTAGAACATGTTTTGGTTTTGTCCAAAGCTCTCAGATTTTTGGGAATTGATCTTTGATATTCTATCTAAAACCCTGGAGATTAAAATCCATCCAGCTCTTGACATTTGGAACTGCTCCTGTAAATGTGAAGCTAACCATGTCAGTTTTAATATCTCTTAAAATCGGCTGATATGTAACTGTAAAACAACTTTGCTGCTGGAATCAAAGGAGGAGGAGCAGTGTGATCACTATCACTGTCTCTGCTATTGTTTAGTGTGCACTAATAATGACAGGCAGCTTCTAATGATGCCTGTGAGTGGAGATGATTTCTCACATCCGTGTTCAGTCTTAATCCAAACATAACTCTACATGTGTAGAGTCCAATTCTGTTGTAACTGTTGTGGTTTAATTAATATTAGAAAAACATTCTGAGGTTTTCTGAGCTAATCCTTTAATTAGTTCAGTGAATATTCAGATTAATGTTCCTTTGATGTAATAATTTGGCTGAGCAGACCGAGTGCTCGACCACAAAGGGAATGATGCACAGCTACACACACACACAGCATGTCATAGACAATAATAGCACAGTGCTTACATCACCAGCCCACGTCCACACAGTCACTTGATGATAGTGCTATTGAATGAAAACCCATCTGCCAAAGACCGAGAGAAACCCTACAGGCACACGGGGGAAGAGGAGAGCTGTGCAGAAGCAGGTTGTACCTTTCATTGTGAACTTTGCCTCCCCATTTAGTTCTTACTCAAACAAACCATGTGTAAGTACATATTCCTGACCCCACAGGGACAGTTTGATAAAATAATGTCAATCCAAATTCCACTTACCAGCTACTTCCCAGTGTTAGAAAAGATTTGCTGATGAAGGTCATGGTTATATTTGCTCTAACATGTGTGATGCAGATCATTGCAGGCAGCCTCCTAAACACGATGATTCACTCTATATGTAAACCAATGAAGGATTAACGTTGTTGAAAAGCCTTTACAGTATATAATTTCATACACTTGCCTGGTAAATTATACTGTGTAGATGTTGAAAACAAAGCATGTTACAAAATGCTGAAGCTTTAATGGAGCCTGTAGTTTGTTCTTATTTCCTTTCTCGGTGGAACTAAGCAGGATGTTGCTGTGAAGGAGCCGGACAGCATTAAGGTTGGGTAAAAAAAAAAGGGTTTGGGAAACGCACCAAGAGTTTGGTGAGAAGACTGACACCCCTCCCAGAACTGTAGGATAATCCTATTAGCTTAGTTTAGCA